GCCTCCCAAGTAGCTGGGACTACAGGCACCTGCCACAACGCCCAGCCATTTTTTGGTTGCAGCCGTCACTGTTGCTTGGCGGGCCCGGGCTGGGGATTCAAACCCGCCACCTTAGGTGTATATGGCTGGCGCCTTAGCTGCTTGAGCCACAGGCGCCGAGCCTTCTCACTCTTTCTTTCTGTGGAAAGGTTGGCATGCTTGCCCAGGTTGAATTCTTCTTGCTGCTTATTTTTTGTATGACCCTTGAGCTAAAGGTGCTTTTTTACATTTTTAGGTTGTTGGAAAAAAAATCAAAACAATAGTATTTTATGAACATACAAATTGTATGAAATTTGCATTTCAGTGTTACTGAAAGTTTTACTGGAACATGGCCATGTTTGTTCAATATTTTTTGTGTCTTTCCCACTATAAAGGCAGAGTTGGATAGTTGTGATAGAGACTTGTATGGCCCACAAATTCTAAAATATTTACTCTCTGGTCCTAATAGAAAACTATGCCAGTCCTTATTCTAGGGATTTGGAGCACATTAAATGGCACAGGAGTCTCCCAAAGGCTGTTGTCAGGCCTTATAAAGGTTCATGTTAGAAAACATTAGGAATTTATTTTGATAAAAGAAAAATAATCTTTCAGCCAATGTAAAAGAAGTATGTACTTCTGAGTTTCCTCAGAAGTAAGTGGGAGTAACGAATTGTTTAACTTTCAATCTCAACTTTACATTTTTACTCTTTGATTTTAGTAATATTTAAATAATCTTTTATAAGCTGCTTGAGATCTTCCCCTTACTGTATTAACTTCTTTTTATTCTTTCTTTGAAAATTATTAATTGGAAAAACACAAATTTGAATAAACATTTAAATCATTACTCCATAATTTCTTTTCCTCTGGAACCCAGAATATTTTTTGCTGCTATGGAAATTGGTTATCCTCTGTATTTTGCAGAAAGATTTCCACTGTCATGCTGTAATCAGGATAAAATACCAATACCTTGTTACAGGTGTGTAGTGTTGTATTGAGAGAGACATTGTGATATCCAGAGAGGCCTCCTTTGACTGTTAGTGTAAGCAAATACATTCAGCATTCTCGTGCACTGTGAGGCGTCACTGCCCTTGACGACATGTTTGGTCCTTACTGAGTCACAGTTGTACTTTAAAGTCACAGTTAAATACTAAATGGAGTGTTCCATATATCATTTAATTTTTTTTTACTTGAATTTCTTAGGTACAATGTTAGCTGTTCTAAAAAATTTGCACTTAGTCGTTGGAATCGTAAACCTGATAATCAAAGTCTTGGGCATCGTGGCCGTCGTCCCAGTGGCCCCGACGGGGCAGCGAGAGAGCATGTCCTTAGGCAGGTCTGTAGAAACCTTCTTCACTGTACAACTCCCTCTTCAGAAATGCAAGGCAAGTGCAATGCTGTGTTTTACTTGTACTGCGTTTTCCAGCTTCCAATTACTTATCCATCTGCAGAAGAAGACGTGGCCTCTCATGAAGACTCTGTGCCGGCTGCTGTGACAACTCGCCTGCGTAGGCAGGGTGAGCGGGAGCGGGAGCTTCGTGATGCGAGGATCCGGAAGATGCCGGAGAGCAAGGACCTGCTGCCATCCGCACAGAGCGAGCCCTCTGTGTGGACGGTCGATGATGTCTGGGCCTTCATCCGAGCTTTGCCTGGTAGGTAACTTAGCACTGTGGCCTTCGTGTCTTCGTTGTGCATCCACATGGAGGAGCGGTGCCTCCCGCCCCTCGTGCGCACTGGCCAGTGCTGTGTGTGACACATGAGGTGGGTGCCACCTCCACTGCTGAAACGGGATCTGCTCCCTCAGCACAACTGGGTATTTTTTCAGACTCCCCCCAAGTCAATAAAAACTGACTAGTCCTGCTTCTGCTATGATGGCTCAGCCGGTGAAGACACAAGTGGTGCTCTCCTCTCTCCAGTCTGATTTCTCTCGAGAAATCAGTAGAGAGACTGAGTCAGACACATCTTCCCCTTCTGCTCTTCAAATTTTCTATTCTTTTCTCTCCTTATTTCCGAATTTAACCTTATGACTATATTTTATATTTTTGAAAGCTAATAAAGACTTTTTACAATATAGTAAGCTTTTTGTTTCTTTTTTTAAAAAGCCAAGCTAGTTCTTTTAATGGTAGTTACATTCTTTGATTCTTTTCAGTAAGTAAACATCAAGAGCCCTTTTGAAATTTTATTTTTTAAGTAGGCAGCTTGAAATATCACTTATGACAGTCATTCTAATACTTTCTTAGGTTTTCTTAAGAAACTAAGAAATCCTTTCTTAGGGTTAAGAAACTAAGAAACCCTTTCTTAGGTAATTTTCTTAGGTTTTCCTGCTCTCTCATTTTGATCCTCTGTTCATCTACTTCAGTGTCTTTTTTCCTTAATGCAACAATCATCTTTTACACCCGCTTTGTTAAAAGGATGGTACCTTTGCTTGTGATGAGACCCACACTGGTTATGTAGGTTAAGATGATACAAGTTTATAAATGAGCATATTTTACTTGGACCCTAAGAATATGGAAAATGAGGAGTTAAAATTTTTTTCCCCTTTGGTGTTACTGTAAATTATGCCATTTCTCTTGGTAAAGCTTTCCAGAAGAATATATCCTATGTGAGCTTGTCTACCACACTTACTAAAATTAAGCTAATTAATTATTATTGTTCATTACTCTTTCTGGGAAAGTGACTAAAGTTTTAGAACCAAACTTGTGCAAGAAAATATTCAGAGGCTCAGTGCCTTTAGCTCAGTGGCTAGGGTGCCAGCCACATACACCAGAGCTGGCGGGTTCAAATCCAGCCCGGGCCTGCCAAATGACAACTAAAAAAAAAAAAAAAAAAAAAAAAAAATAGCTGGGCATTGTGATAGGCGCTTGTAGTCCCAGCTACTTGGGAGGCTGAGGCAAGAGAGTCGCTTAAGCCAGCAGTTCTCAACCTTCCTAATGCTGCGACCCTTTAATACAGTTCCTGTGGGTCATGACCCACAGGTTGAGAACCGTTGGCATAAGCCCAAGAGTTTGAGGTTGCTGTGAACTCTGATGCCACAGCACTCTACCCAGGGCAACAGCTTGAAACTCTGTCTCAAAAAAAAAAAAAATCAAGAAATAAGAGTTTAGGTTCAGTGCCTGTGGCTCAAGTAGCTAGGGCACCAGCCACATACACCAGAGATGGCAAGTTGGAATCCAGCCTGGGTCTGCCAAACAGCAATGACAACTACATCAAAAAAATAGCTGGGCATTGTGGCAGGCACGTGTCCCGGCTCCTTGGGAAGCTGAGGCAGAAGAATCACTTAAGCCCAAGAGTTTGAAGTTGCTATGAGCTGTGACGCTACAGTACTCTACCCAGGGCGACAGCTTGAGACTCTGTCTCAAAAAAAAAAAAAAAAGCTGAGCACGGTGGCTCACGCCTGTAATCCCAGCACTTTGGGAGGCTGAGGAGGGAGAACTGCTTGAGCTGAGGAGTTCAAGACTCGCCTGAGTGAGAGTGAGACCCTGACTCACGAAAAAAATGGAAAAACCCAGCTGGGTGCCGCAGCGAGCGCCTATAATCCCAGTGGCTCTGGAGGCTGAGGCAGTGGGATGCCCACAAGCCGGAGTCTGTGGTTGCAATGAGCTACCAAGCCTGCACTCTGCTCAGGGGCATAGGGTGGGACTCTGTCTCAACCAAAAAAAAAAAAAAAAAATCAGAAATTAAGAGTTTAAAGAACTCTGTACCCATGCTCACCTCATATGTAGAACTCAGTGAAATTTTATTATTTTATTAATATCTTGTTCAAAAATGCTAATTTTTAAAAGAAAACAAAGATACAGCCACTTTTTTAAAGTTTTTTTTTAAGTTTATTTTATTTATTTATTTATTTATTTTTTCAGTTTTTGACTGGGGCTGGGTTTGAACCTGCCACCTCCAGCATGTGGGGCTGGCGCCCTACTCCTTTGAGCCACAGGTGCTGCCCGATATAGCCACTTTTAAAGAAAGATGGAGTTATTTAAATGAGGAATAGTTTCTTCATGGGAATGAGCATGCGCCTAAGAAAAATTTAGTCTGAGTTAATTGCCAACCATGTGGGTTTAGAACTTGTTTTAAATTCAGTGTGTGTGTTAGAGGATGGTGAATCTTCACTAGTTGCAGTTTTAATATTTAATAATACATTTTAGTTTTTAGACCTTACAGCTATTTTGAAAATTAGCACTGGACTCCCTATCAGTCACCAATCACCTGGGGTTGGACAGTCTCTGTCATCTTCAGAGGTGGCCTCAGTCTCCCACTGGGCGTAGGGGTGGGGGGAGCGTTGTTTGCTCATGAGCCTAATTTTTCATTTGGGGAAATGTTGTTTCCTTTGGGGAGGAGAATTGGTTTATATCCTAAGGAAGGTAGTTGCCCACATAATTAACATGTGATGGTACTGGCCCCTCTCCTTCACTCCGTCCCCATATCCATGTGCCACGTGGCTGCTCTCAGCCGCCTTATTAGAAAAGCTAACTCCTTTGTCTCATTGTTGCTTCATTTGAGTTAAAAAAAAATAATGCAACTTACTGTTCCTAACTTGAGGTGCTTATTTTGAGTTCATCTAGGCCAGTGGTTCTCAACCTTCCTAATGCTGCGGCCCTTTAATACAGTTCCTGTGGGTCGCGGCCTGCACATTGAGAACCGCTGATCTAGACATTTAATTTTGTTACCAGTTGTTCGGAGAACATCACATAGAGACTGCGTGGTGTGAGGTCAAGTTACCTGCCTGCTTTAGAGTCTAGCACAACTTTCTCTTTGATGATGAGGCCAAAATAAGCTTGCTTGTATGATCAGTTGAATATCTTTCAGAAAGTTTTCTCTGAATAATACCTATAGCTCAAGGCAAACCCTGTCAGAAAATGCCTTGCATGCATTTCTTAGTGCTCATCTGGATGCTGTAAACTTCGTGGGAGCTGTTTTCAGCTCTCTCAGGGCCTTTTGTTCTCCCTGAGTAACCTACCCCTGAACTTACCGCACAGAAGGAGCTGCCTGTAGAGTCTGTACTTTGTCCCCAGTTAGGTGTCCTGCGCTCTTTATTTAGGGAACCTGGATTTACTCCTCCAGGCCCCCTTCTCTCTGTGTGTCATCCTGATGGGACTGTGTTGGAGCTTATCTGCAGCACACTCAAATCTCAGAGCTGCTACCAGAATAAAAATTACTGCCTTGTAACTGTTTGTTCATTAGAAAGTTCTCAGCAGGAACAGTTCTTATTCCCAGTCAACTGCAGGTGTCATCTTTAATTCTTCCTTGACAGGAAGATCAGTTTATCCTCTGTGAATCCACACTTCTCTGTAGGTATTTAAAGTGGGAATTATTCTTTAAAATATAGCTGTTAAGGCTTAGCACCCGTGGCACAGTGGTTAAGTGCCAGCCACATGCACCAAGCCTGGCGGGTTCGAGCCAGGCCCAGGACAGCTAACCAACAATGACAACTGCAACATAAAAATAGCCGGGTGTTGTGGTAGGCACCTGTAATCTCAGCTACTTGGGAGACTGAGGCAAGAGAATTGCTTATACCCAAGAGTTTGACGTTGTGAGCTGTGATGCCATAGCACTCTACTGAGGGCAACATAGTGAGATTCGTCTCAAAAAAAAAAATTATATATATGTGTATATATATATCGCTATTTACTGGTCAGTGATACCAGTATTGGGACTTGTTTATTCGGTGATCTTGACTGGCTGGCAAGTGATGCCTTTCCACCAACCTGACTGAGGTCAGTTTTTGTGGGGGGTGTTTTAACTGTGGAACTGACTCTGGACACTTGAGATGTTCTGGTGGGACCTGTGTGCAGAGAGGTCTACGTCCAGGCTGAGAGCTGCCTTGCATGTGCTTCTGGGGTGAGGCCATCACTGTTGCCGCTGTCTGACCACTGCTATAGTCGGTGCACATTCTGTCCGTGTCCCTGGGCTCCTGCCCTTCACAGTAGGTATCACCGTCCGACCCTACAGAGTAGGGTAGGTAGCTCAGGATACTTTGAGCACTAAAGTTATTTTTAAAATGTTTTTCTCTAATGAGTTTCTGGAAGCACACTTGTTTTGCTTTTTTTTTTTTTTTTTTTTTTTTGAGACAGTCTTACTGTGTCACCCTCTGTAGAGTGGCATCACAGCTCACAGCAACCTCCAACTCCTGGGCTTAGGCAGTTCTTTTGCCTCAGCCTCCCAAGTAGCTGGGACTACAGGCACCCGCCACAACGCCTGGCTATTTTTTGTTGCAGTTTGACTGGGGCTGGGTTGGAACCCGCCATCCTCGGTCTATGGGGCCGGCGCTTTGCTCACTGAGCCGTAGGCACCTCCCTTGTTTTGCTTTTTTATTTTTTAAGTCACTTCATTTTCTTATTTCAATGACTTTTCTTTTGGTTAGCTTTAAAAAGTTAAAATGTAAAATTCTGAAGAATGTGTCTTTTTCTTTTTCTCCTTAAGCCCCTTTCATTCTTGGAATTACATTCTCATGTGATCCTGCTGTTTTCCAAAAAAAACACTTCTGCTCTCCATTTGCTAAGAGACTTAGTGTCCCCCTGCAAGGAGACAGTTGAGGGCCTGACGGGGGGGAGGAACGGGAGGCCCGTGTGCTCTTCCAGCGCCTTGTTCTGTTCCACACAGAAACTCACTGTCCTTGTCACTTCTCATTGGTCCTGTTTTCAGAATCCAAGTAAGTCCTACCCTCTTTCTCTCTCTTCTCTTCTTTCCTGTGTTCTTATAAGTAAGACTGAAGAGAGAAGAACATTAGTTCTCTCATAAAAAGAAGGAAGAAGTCACAACTAGATGCAAGATTAGTCAGTTTTGTTGAGAGCTGCCTCTGGGAAAGAAAAGGGGCTTTTCTGTGGTGAGTAATCTCATTTTAACTATGTCATTGCTTTTGTATGGTAAATAGGCAAAAGCATAAAAAATTTGTAGAGAGTATTGAAATGTCCATTTTTTAAAGTCTGAGAAATTAGTAAAATAGAAATTGAAAATCTGGGTATTGGAAGACTAAAGATATAACTCACAGAGGACATGAGAAAAGAAATAACCAACAAGAAGGCTGCCAGTGGCTGAACGTCCTCAATCTCACAGACGGCTCTCCTGCAGCTTCTGTCTGCGCCCCCCGGCCCTCCACTTGCTCTAGACGTGCATGCGGCGTGCACAGCGCTTTGTGTTTGGGTTGGGTTATAAGGCAGACACTATCTGACCTAAACGTGAGAGTGATGTTCACTCTACCAGTATGGGGAAATCCAAGGTATAATACAGCCATTTCTGTTTTTCATTATCTTTTTAATGTTCTTTCTTTTTTTTTTTTTTGAGGCAGTTTCACTGTGTTGCCCAGGTAAAGTGCCTATGGCATCACAGCTCACAGCAACCTCAAACTCTTGGGCTCAAGCAATCTTCTTGCTCAGCCTCCTGAGTAGCTGGGACTACAGGCACCCGCCACAACACCCAGCAGGTTCTTATAGAAACAGAGTCTTGCTCTTGCTCTTGCTCAGGCTGGTCTTGAACTCGAGCTCAAGGGATCCTCTTACCCAGCCTCCCAGAGCACGCTGGGACTATCGGCATGAGCCACTGTACCCGGCCTATTAGTTTTTATTCTTAAATTAATTTTTATAATTGTACTGTCTCTTAAAAGGAAGCCTCCATGTTTCTGCATTCTTCCTTCCTTGGTTCCTTAATTCATTATCTTCCCTCTTGGTTTCTCTACTCCTAATTGCGAAGTATATTTACGTAACCTGGGCCTGCAGAATTTGGTAGATGGCAAAAAACATTGGAGGTTTAGGTAGATGCAAGTATTGTTACCTGCGACAACAGCTGGTTTGGGCTGGGAATTTAAACACTGGTTATTTGGCAGGAGATTATCAAGCTCATAATTTCAGTGAGAAGTTTTCTTTTCTTTTTCTTTTTCCTTTTTTTTTTTTT